AGCATACAGATAAATCAAAATGAAATGTTAATGGTATAGTAGCCTGTGTGAAGATAGAAAAATAAAAAATAAGCAGAAAACAAAACATAAAGTGTTAGCCTTTAGTCCTAAAACTAAAAAATCAGACTATCAAATTAAGTATGAATAATCTAGAATTTAGTGTTCTCTGAAGTAGCAATATTGACTTCCAGGGGAGGAATATGATGCAAGCAAAGTAATAGTATTGGAAGCAACTGCAGGGTTTATTTGTTTAAAGAAGGCCGATCTTCAGGTGCTGTGCTAAATAAATTTTTCTCTTAAAAGTGAGTGCTAGACAAAGACTGGCCCACATCCAAAAGAACAAAAGCAACCTGTGCTGGCACGGATGTAGCGAGAAAGGGACCCTCCTTCATTGCTGATGAGAATGCCGACTGGTTCAGCCCTTTTGGAAAACAGTATGGACGGTTCTCAAAAAATTAGAAATTGAGCTTCGATTTGATCCAGCAATACCACTCCGGGAATATATCCCAGAGAGGCAAAAAAGTATAGTCAAAGTGACATCTGCACTTGTTTGTTCATTGCAGCACTCTTTACAACAGCCAGAATCTGGAAAAAATTGAGTGCCCAAGAAGAGATGACTGGTTAAAGAAACGTTGGTACATCTACACAATGGAGTACTATGTAGTTGTTAGAAAAGATGAAGTCATGAAATTTACATACAAGTGGTACTACATGGAAACTATCATGTTAAGTGAAATGAGTCAGAAAGAGAGGGATAGACATAGAAAGATTGCATTCATCTGGGGAACATAAAGTAACAAAATAGGAGACTAACACCCAAGGGTGGCTGAGATTAGTACCAGGAGGTTTGCTCCATGGCTTGGAGGCCAGCCACACATGCTAGGGGGAAAGGGAGCTCAGATAGAGAAGGGAGCACCAAATAAAGGGTGTTGGGAAGATCCTCCCAGGATAGGGGATGCATGCTGAAAGTAGACTATAGACCAAACATGATTGCCACTCAATGCCTCTTTTGCAAACCACAACACTCAAAAGGAGAGAGAGAACAAAAGGGAATGCCCTGCCACAGAGTCAGGATGGAATGGGGGGAATGGGGGTGGGAGGGATACTGGGACCCGTGGTGGTGGAAAATGGTCACTGGTGGAGAGATGGGTATTTGATCATTGTATAATTGAAATCCAAGCACAAAAATTTGTAAGTCTACAACTGTACCTCATGGTGTTTCACTAATAAAAATTTTTTAAAAATGTGAGTGGTAAGAGAAAGAGAACAAACAGGAATGCCCTGCTACAGAGGCAGGGTGGGAAGGGGGAGTATGGGGGGTGGGAGGGATACTGGGATCCGTGGTGGTGGGAAATGGGCACTGGTGGAGGGATGGGTATTTGATCATTATATAATTGAAACCCAAGCACAAAAATGTGTAAGTCTGCAACTGTACCACATGATGTCTCACTATTAAAAAAATAAATTAAATTAAATTAAAATAAATGTGAGTGGTAGAGCAAAAAAGTTTAGGAACTTCTGACTAGAAAATAATTAAAGGATATGTTAACAAATCAAATTTAAAGCAAAACTCAATATTTTATGATGTCTTTAAAAAATCACTTTAACTATAACATAATCTACCACCATAACACCCTGAACATATTCAATGCTGCTGTCTACATATAATGTATGAACTTAAAAAAGAAAAGTGCAAGAGGTCCAATGTCCTGTGGTGAAGGTTTATTTGTATGTTGATGGTGAATATGTTATAGTATGGTAACATACTTGATGAGGTATGAACTCCAAAATAACACACAACAATATAAACCAATATAACTTCAATTTAAAAATAAATAATACAGCGAGATACAATGTATACCTATCAACATGACTAAAAAAATACAGGACAATGCCATCAGAGGGCTGAACATACTGAATCTCTTACACATTGAAGCCACTCCTAAAAAGTATTTGACAACTTCTGAAAAATTTTAACATGGGGGAGGGAACAAAAATTGTTCAATATGGAGCTATCATCCAACCAGTAATTATTCTCTGAATATTTGTCCTAGAGAAATGAAAACCCATGTCCCAACAAAATGTTGTATGCAAATGTTTACAGCTTTAATTGTAATAACTAAACACTTAAAGCAACTCCAGTGACCCATAGTGAGGACCTCCATAGTAAATAATCAATCTGACTATGGTAAATTCCATTGGGTGAAAAGAGGCAATGTTTGATATACACATAACTACTATTAGTCCCTAGAGAATTATGCAGGATTAAACCCTAAAAACTTCTCAGATAAGAAAGTTGTGATATATAGAAACAATGAAATATTCTGCAGATATAAGAAAAGATGAAACTTTGCAATTTGCTGCAGTTTTGGTGGAACTGATGAGAATCATGTTGATTAAAATATGTCATAGGAACAAGAACAAATGCCAGATCATCTCATTTGTCTGTGGTATATAAATGAAAAAAGAGTAAACAAAAGTTGTCTAAAACCTAACGCTGGGGGGCTGGAGCGATAGCAGAGGGAGTAGGGCGTTTGCCTTGCATACGGACTAGGGTTTGTATTCCCAGCATCCCATATTTTCTCACCCCGGAGCACCACCAGGAGTAATTCCTGAGTGTAGGAGCCAGGAGTAAACCCAGTGAAATGCTGGGTGTGACCCAAAAAGAAAAAACAAAACAAACAAAAAAACCTAAAATCTCTTTGAATTTGAAGAGTGAGCAGGGGCGGGGGCAGGGGTGAGGGGGGTTGAGGTGAGTGGGGAGGGAGTGTTGGGCCTCAATGAAGGACTTTGTGAATCAAGGAAAGAATTTAGGAATAAGGAAAAAATTACGATCCATTTCCATCAGTATCTCCATTAGGTAACTCCCTCATTTGGTTTTCCGTAATCAGGGATGTGGTCACTCATGAATTTAAGACTTCCTGAAATCAACAGGATCTGCTTTATGTCAGGTACCACTGGAATGGTTTCCAGATTCTTAATCTCAGTTGCTTCTACTAGATTTTTAGAAAGCAACATCTACAGTTGCTCCAATTACTCCTTTCTGTATGGTTCCATCACGCTTACCTGCCTTATCCTTTCCAGCTAGCCTCAGAAGCAACATCGGTCAGGTTGTGACACCCAGGTTTCCCTTGCTGATCCTGTCCTTGGTAACCATTCATCAAAAGTAATGTATTAAACTTACTTAACACATGATCTTCTTTTCAGTTCTCTCACTAAACCTAGTCTGCATCTCTAAAATTTATTGTCCTATTTTGTGTATACAAATCTTGGGCTCTACTAGGTTGGGTGCTCTGAAAAACTGGCTTTGATCTCATCCAGTAAAATACAGAAAGTATAAAAACTACAAAGAACAAAATGGCAAACTTAAAAATTTTCTTTATAACATGTTCGAAAATACATAGGTCATCATATTGAATGGTAGTTTTCAAAGTCTTATTCATTGAAATGCCTTAGTCACTAAGGGGGCTTTAACTTGCTACTTGGGCACAAGAATTCTATTAGATAAAATTAGATAAAATTCTAGTAGATAGAATTAGATCCATATCACCTTATGTACCACTGTCACAGAGAGTCTATATGGTCTATCAAATTCTTGAATTTCAATCCTCAAATCAATATGCTTCTCATAAATGATATGACAGTACTGAATGAAGAACGGTGGACAACTCTTCTAAGTCAATATCATACTCTGTTCTCAGCTTCCATATATAACAGAAAAATTGTGTGTTTTTATTCAGTCCTAACATTCTCATCTTGCTTTGTCATTTTTAATGGATTATGACAAAAAAGAATTGCTTTTTCAGTCTAATTGCTAAATGCACAGAACACAAGCTCAAGATCTATTTTCATTAGACACAGACTTGTCCATTCGATTTTATTCTGAAACAATGGAATATAGTGTTGTTTCTTATAATAATATAACAAATTTTAAAGCTAAATAACATCAGATTTCCCCCATACCAGGTCAATGAGGTAGTCAGGTCCTCATGATCTGAGAACTAAGTAAAGAAGGGATGAGAAACCTTAAAATTTTTGAAATACATAGTCCAAGTGTCAGCTTTTTAAGTTGAAAATTCTATATTCAATACAAAGTGGTAATTACATTTTCACATACTCATCAAATTAATACATTAAATATGTACAGCTCATTGTTTATCAATAAAATGATTAAAATGAATTATTGATCCTTATAATACATTTTATTTTGAGCATTAGCAAGAAGAAAAGCATAACATAGAATCAAAGTTTACTTTTGACTCAGAAACAATTCTGAGTGTTACTGGCACAAGAGTAAATACTTGAGGTAAGATAACAGGAGTAGAGGTTTCTTCAGGTCACTGATCACCTGAAGCAGTTCTTCAGTTTGGAAGTCCCCCAAGTTCTGTAAGATCCATACATCCCACGGAACTCCTTACAGGTCAATCCTCCCGTTGTTCATCGATTTGCTCGAGCGGGCCCAGTAACGTCTCCATCATGAGACTTGTTACTGTGTTTGGCATATCAAATACGTCACGGGTAGCTTGCCAGGCTCTGCCGCGTGGGCGAGATACTCTAGATAGCTTGCCGGGCTCTCTGAGAGGGGCAGAGGAATCAAACTTGTCCTTACAGGTCTACCACTAAAATTCTAGATGTAATTTCAAGGTAAATAGTTTGAGAAATGTACATACAAAAGAACAGATTTACAATGTTATCATGCAACTGTAAATAAAGCATCAGAACATTTCCTTTGGAAGGGCTTTCTTTGTTTGCCAGTTTAGCATTGACCTTGCCTAGGGGGAAAGACCAGAATACTCCAAGAATCAAACAATGCATCAGTCACAACCCTTACACCAATTAGCTTCAGGGCACCTCGATCCCAAACTCATTTACTTGTTCTAACTGGAATGGAAGAGGAATCTCAGTTTGCCTTCCCCATCAAAATTTAACTTACCAGACATATCAGAGAGGTCAATTCTAAGTAAAACTGCAGTTTCCTGAAGAGCTTCTCAAGACACAAACTAGCTTCTGAAGGAGGGAAAAAGCTTCCTGAGCGCTGCTTTGACCTCCTTGTTTCTTAAAGTATAGATGAGGGGGTTGAGAGTAGGACTCAACATGGTATACAACACACCAGCCAACTTGCTCTTCTCAGCATTATAGCTGGAGACAGGGCTTATGTACGCATAAAAGACAGCTGTATAATACATGCACACCACGATGAGGTGGGAAGAGCAGGTAGAGAAGGCTTTCTTCTTCCCCTCTGCAGTTCGCATCTTTAGGATGCTGGAGATGATGAAAGCATAGGACACAATGGTCATCAGGAAGTTCAGTATGCCATAAAAGGCATCAGCTAGGACAATCATGACACTGTTCACATACGTGGAACTACAAGATAGAAGTAACAAGGGAGGAACCTCACAAAAGAAATGGGTAATGACATTGGGGCCACAGAAATTCAAGCGTAACATCAACCCAGTGTGAATGGCTGTGTTGAAGGCACAGAGCACCCATACACCCGTGGCCAACACACTACAGAATGACTTACTCATCATGGTGCTGTAGTGCAGAGGGTGGCAGATAGCTGCGTACCGATCGTAGGCCATGACTGTGAGGAGGAGCAGCTCAGAAGATGCAGACCAAGTGAGAAAATAGAGCTGAGCCATGCAGCCCCCATAGGATATAGAGCTCTCCTCTGACACCAGACCTTCCAGGGCTTTGGGCATGATAGAGGTCGTGCAGATAACATCCATAGTAGCCAAGTTGAAGAGGAAAAAGTACATGGGGGTGTGGAGCCCAGGGTTGAAGGTAATGGCCAAAATAATGAGGATATTACCTGTCATAGCCACAGAGTAGAGGGATAGGAAACAGCTAAATAAGAGCACACGGTATTCTGGGTGCTCTGAAAAGCCCTGCAGAATAAATTCTGTTACCAGAGTCTGATTACTCATGGTCCTCAGGATGAGATGACACTATCAGGTGAATCTGCACCCACAGCTTCATGTGATTTCAGTGCTATAGAGGTAAAGAAAAGATGTGCTAAAGAGGACTGAGATTATGTTTCATTCATATCTGCTGTGGGAAGAGAAATATTATATAGTGACTCTAGCATTTATTAAAATAAACACAGCAAACTGACAATAGGTAAAGGGCATACATTCAACCTATAAAGTCAATGCAAGTGTCCAGTTTAACTTATTAAACCATCATTAAACCTCAAATACATGCAAACTAAATCAGTGAGTCACCCTTTATAATTCATGACTTGAAAAAGTAACAATCCCTGTGCAAAGATTGTTTTTTAAAAAACAAAAAATTACTCTCACCTGTGTTGCCCTTCCAGAATCGGTGCTGACTTCAATATTAGAAAATTTTGCATAATACTTCACATTCACAGTAGCAAACTATCTCCTCTAAGCTGTCATATTGTCTCATTCTTCTCTGGACCTCCCTGTTTGGCATCGTCCCATGCCTGGCATGGAATGGATGTACACTTGACTGTACAAGTTAGAAGTGATGCTAAAATTGATATGAATAAAGCATACTAGAATAAGCAAATATCTAATCTAAAAAGTAGTACATGCCATTGTCAAGACAGTAGACATTATGTACTACTGAAGATAAAATAAGCATGGTACATTTTTGCTTTCTCCTTTTTAAAAAAATTTTTTATTCAGTAAAATAATACCGGGACCCAGCCACAGCCATGCTGAGACCACACTCTACATGCTCGGACGAGCCTCATGCATGAAGGAACCGGCAAAGGAAGCTAGGTATGTGGGACCCGGGGCTGAGATTCCAAGTCTGCTCAATTCAGGACTGGGTCTCCTCCACCCAGATCCCCATCTTCCAGTAACAGTTACACACACCAACTGCCATGTAACCCCATAAAAGGCCAGGATCCAGAGACTATAAAAACAAGCTCTCGGAAGTATTCACAGTCACATGACCTGTTATTCTCTAGCTCTCACTCTCAGAGAACCCAGCAGGCTACTGAGAGTATCCTGCACACATATATGCCTGACTGGAAACACCTGTAAAGGTAATTAGAGGCTGCCCCAAAAGCCTCCATCCCTCTAGGAGAGCCCAGCAATCTACCGAGTTATCCCGCCCGCACGGCAGCTGGCAAGCTACCCGTGGTGTACTTGATATGCCCAAAACAGTAACAGTGATGGCCCCCATTCCTCTGACTCTGAAAGAGCCCCAAATATGCCATCGAGCTACACTAGCACGTGATAGGGACAAATGGAGACACTACTGGCACCCACTCTAGCAACTCAATGAACAGGATGATAGTGATAGTGAAAGGAATATGCTCACCTTCAGAACCCTCTTTTTTGTCAAACATGAATGAGTATTTATGACTGGAGAATCCAAGTTCTTACACACAATTACCACAAATCACCAAGAACAGTATCATAAAGCCATTTGGTAAAATCGGTTCTTTAGATAAGCATGAAATTTCTATTCAGAGGAAGAGGCGCTATTATTGTGGAGTTCAGTGCTGATATCAATGACAAAGTTTTATCTCTATTCAGCAAGATAGCAGACTGACATATAATTATGCGCTATATTTCTTAGCATAAGTCATTTTGGAAATCAATGCTTAGTAATAGTTTTGCAGTTTACATATCTTAATACTTTGTTCTTCTGTTTTATTTTATTTTATTTGCTTTTATTTATTTTATTTTATTTTATTTGCTCCTCATAAAAGTCTGGTTGGTGATTCTTGTTTAAATCCAGGAGCCACTGTGAGATTGAACAATTGAGGGAGGGGAAAAGGAATAGAGTTGGACTTAGCCCATTATGTCTCTGAAAGATTCCTGCAACTCCCAGTAATATTCTTTACAGAATTTTAACCAGTTGATGCTCTACTCATTACTCACAATCCACAAACCAGAGATTCATAGCGCTGCGGTCATACCCAGGAGGAGAGAAAACTTTACCAAGCACTGGAGCAGTAGTATGCAAATCTATCACATCCCATTACATTCCTGAAGCATCACTATGAAGGAAACCTTTAATCCAATCATTCTCTAATCTGCCCAGTATGAGGGCAGAAAAAATAAACTACAACAAAATGGAAATTTTAACTAGGTGTGCAACACCAGGAAATGGCCAATACATCAATTCACATTTGGGGACCAAATTAGCCCCCATATATAATACCCCCCCATGTAATTTTCAGGCCAGATGGACAGTCTCCTCAGGTAATGTGGAAGATTGTATCAGAGCACAAGACATTTTCTTCAAACAGTCCATAAACTCTTTGCTGGACCTCAGCCAGTAATTTCTTCTTCTGAAAACAACAAAGAATTTTCTCTCCTGACCTCCATAAGGCACTGCCTTTAATTCTCAACAAATATCAACAGGTTATTTAAAAAACGATACATGAAAAAGAAAAACACTTCAAGTACCAATTGCCAAACTTAAATAATGCTACATTTAGACAATATATCCACCCATAGGCACACATTTAAGCAGCAGTAATTTTCCATACATACCGGATTCTTTGGCACTCAAATTTCAGAGAAAAATAAAATAGAATCTTGGATGATTTAATTCTGTCTAGAAATATCACAGAGTCCTTGAAATTTAAAAGTTGATTTTCTTGAGTTTCTCATAGCAATAGGTTGAATTTCTCTGAAAGACAATTTACCTTTAGTAGAGTTATTATTAAGTTATTATTCACATATTCTTGTTCATAATGTTGAAAATTTTACAAATGAATTACTATAACTACTTACAGTATTTAAGTAACAGTGGAGGTTTGTACAATTTTTATCTCTAAAGGCATTCAATTCTCATAGACGTTATATAACTAATCTGATGTCTTTCTATTTAAGATGGAAGTAGATAATCCCTCTGTAAACATGTTTTTAAATACAGAAAACTAAAACTAAAGGTCTTAACTGACATATGTATAGGTTTAAATCTGAAAGATATTTTGGAGATAACAGTACTTATAAACAAATAAGGTTATTTTTAAAGGTAACTAAGGGACTTACTTGGCCATACAAAGCACCTGTGATAAAGTTAGCTTCTAGTCAAAGGGCCTTGGTATTTTAATCATAATGCCCAAAAGGAAAGACATAGAAAGAGACAGACAGACAGACAGAAGGAAAGTGCCTGCCATAGAGGCAGGTGGGGTAGTGCTGGTGGGGACTGGAGGGAAACTGGAGGCATTGGTGGTGAGAAATGTATTTTGGTGAAGGGACAAGTGCTGGAACATTGTGTGACTGAAACTCAATAATAAACAACTTTGTAACGGTGTATCTCACTGTGACTCGATTTAAAAAAATGGGGGGGGCTTTGTTATTTCTTCACAGGAATTGTTATTTTTTAGTGCCACATCCTCACCCCTAAATCCAGTATCATCAAATATGAAAGAAAATTCAAAAAAAAATGAACCGAAAAAGTTTACATTTATATTTTTCATTTATTATGATCATGTAATATAATCCCTAAATCCTTAGCCAAATATTTGTATATTTTTTGTTTTATATTTTGTTTGCCACCAAAAAATTTTAATACATAGTGAGAAATTCATAAAAATTACTGTCTCTAAGTCAGTTAAGCAAAAACGAGATATATAGATACATATATATACAAATTTAATAATCAAATTGAGCAGACAGAATTAAAAGCATAATTTTTCTCATCCCTTTATATCATAATGAATGAGTCATCTTCATAATATTTCAAATTACCTTGAAAAAAGTTATTTTGTCTTTATGGATCAAATTAGCTTTATATGTAGTTGTCCTTTCTTTGTCACCAAAATTTAGGTTGCAAACTTGGCATCACTGAATCAGCAGCATGCACTCCAGGAAGAGATCAGTCTAGACTGGATGAAGGCTTTCTTCCCCTATTTTAACTGATTTTCCATGCATTTGTGACTCATTTGAGGCAAAGTTTGTCACTGCCTGTGGGACACACTTGGAAGAGATATTCATAGCTATTACCCTAAGTGGACCCTGAAGGAGCAATTAAATTAAGTGCCTCTTTTCTGGGTTCTTGGCTGTCAGTGGTGTTCATACGAAGACCTGTTCAGAATTCTGACCCAAATAGATGCAAAAGTGAAATTAGAAAATTAGATTGATCAGAGAACAAGGCCAAAATGTCACTTCCAGCTCACAGAATATAGTGACAGTGACAGACACAGATTCAGTGCTCAGAATAATATGCTCACACATACAGGCAGCTTGTATGGGTCAAACAAGACCCTTGCACTTTTAGAGAATGCTTTCTTTCAACAGTTTGATGCATATAAGAAACATCCTGAAATTCCCCTGTATAAACCACTCCTTCCAACAGAGCTCACCCACCCCCGACCCTCCCACACCTTGTCTCCCTTACCAAATCACCTTCCCTTCCCTTTTCCATATTTCACACTCTTGTCTCTCATTAAGATCTATTTTCATCAATTAAGCTTCTCTGACTTCGTGCATAGAAATTACCATTCCTTTCTGAACTCTTTCTGAATTCAAGACAACAAAGTCCATGAAACGGATCCAAATTCCAGCCCCGAAAGCTAGTGGTTGTTTGACTTCAGTCTCTTAAACTTCTCTAAGACGTTTATAAGAATTTTCATTGTCACACCACCTAGTGCATGTACAGAAGAGGCTTAGCAATATTTTACTTTCTCTTCCCTTACTTTTCACCTATTTACATACACTTGTTGTTCTATATTAGTTGGCATTCAAAGTACAAACTTCGTATATGTCATAAAGAAAACATCCTTAACCGTCATTAAGTGCAAAATTGTTGACTGATTAAGACTGAATAGATTAAGTGGAGATTTAATAAGGCTTCTTTTCAAAAGATACTTCAAACAGCTCTGGTTTTATTTTATTTATTTATTTTTAACTTATTTTAATTGATTAAAGTTCTATTATTGTTGGTTTTCCATACACGTATTTCCAATGCCACATGTATCACCAGTGTAGATACCTCTTTTCCTCAAAGATTCCTCCCTTCAACACTGATTCAGGAGGAAAGAT